AGTCGATTCTCCTTTAGCGACTCTTCCTCTCACTGAGACGGCGACTTACACCATCCGGGCAGTTGCGGATCAGAATTGATCGACGTCCGCTCGAATTTAGCGGCAGAGTACGCAAAATGTTCCCCCCACGTCATCTGATGCGAAATCTCAGATTTTTCTCCCATCATGAACCCGCGCAAGCCATCAAGCATGACGTTGATCGTAGGTCGGAAAACTTCACCGCGACAGCAATAACCTTCTCGAATCACATAATCTCTCGAACGCTTCGCGAGTCTCAATTCACGGGCCCGAATAACTCGATCGACTGCTTAATGGCGGAAACCAGTTGCGAACTCTCCCGGAATTTTCGGGAAAATTCGTCGAAGGACACCTCGGCAAGGGCAACAAAGACGGCGATCCTCCCGAGCGAGCATTCGGTTCGGGAAGTCCCAGCGAGACTTAATAATGTAAATATTCAGGCGCGACCACGCTCTGCAGTATCGCTCGGCTCGAGCTCCGTGTTTCGCATCGGCTTAGGTATTCAGAAGGCGCGAGCTAGCCTGCCTCGGTATTCCTATGCATTGATAGGGGGAAAATTGAGCTCCCACAAGATCCGCACTCCGAGAAGGGGGTTGTGCAAATCGAGAGGAACGAGCGTTAGACGTCGGCCTCCCTGTCCAGAGAGCGGGAAACTCGGACATGGATGTAGGCATCATGAATGATCCTTCCTTACATTCGAAAGAATCTGTGAAAGTTATAGAAATTTCGAAGGTAGATGTGAAGGAGCAACTTCTTGACTGTTAGAATGGTGTCGGCCGATATACCAATCATCTTAGACTCCGCAGTTTCCTGTCTCCCACGAAGCCGCCGAGCACCTGGACACCTCTCTCTTGGAGTCTACTACAGAAGAGCCTTGAGAAGCAACGATCTGAGCGACCGACTGCAGGCTAAGTTCAAGAATGAGTGAGCGTACGGTCGTGATTTCGAGGGTCGCTATTTCGCTACAGACACAAGCAAGGCGTTCGACATCCGACTTCAGTGAATATTCCCGATCGGACGCGCGTGACGCATGAGCACAGAACGACGACATTAGGGCAGGAAGCTCCCTGTGTTAAGTTCCGCTTATGTCGACCAACCTCTGTGCAGGGTTTCGGCACTAGGTTTTTGTCTGTGGGAACCAAGGCATTGGCGCTGGTTTTGGGGACAAAACCAGGGGAAACAGGTTGCTTTGCACCGAGTGGCCTTCGCTTCTCCGGTTATCGACTGTGGGAAAGTAAAGGATCAAGTCAAAATATCGACAGAGCGCACTCCGAGTCCGACATCGGTCAGTTTCGACTGCACGGGTGCACTCGTCAATGGCACGCTCAGTCCCGAAGCATGAATATTAGAAATTTTCAAAGTCTCGTCAATCATCATTCGACAGAAACTTGCCTCCTCTTCGATAGCAGGATGCACGCTGCAACCGAATTAATACCTGCATCGACCCGGCTCATAATCGTGGTATTTGGGAGCCGAACGTCGAGGAGAGCGTACGGGCTCATCAAACGACGGTATCCCCCGAGCCCCGGCACGCCTCTGATTCAATCCGTGACAAGAATCCAGCAGCGAGTCCACAAGAACTCCCTCTTCATCATTGCATGATTTCGGAGCATCTGAGCGGTCTTTTCCCGACCCGTGATTCGGATTTCCTTGATTCCTAAGTATGCCGGAGCTCGAGCTGAGGTATACGTTTTTCTTTTTAATTGGTGATCTGAGAGTATTTCAGCCTTGGTGTTGCGTCCCGGCCAGTGAGTCAGTTCTGCTACAGACTTTTTCGGGAAAATATACCCAGGGTCTTTCTTTTATATCTTGCACACCATATGGTCAACTGGAGGTGGTGCTGGTTGGTGACGAAGAAGAGTACCATATGGTAGGACGAGACGCGGTCGCGGCCTTCGAGGGTCTTAGATAGCCTTGAGAAAATTCAAACTAGGTTAAAAACTAGGCGGAGATGTATACTTCCGAAAAAAAATGCGGCATATGAGAGCTCTGGGCTGAGTCGATCTTCGCTTATTATCGCTTGCGTTCTCAATATACCATTCAGTGACTGAGCCGTGTATATTCGTACATACTTCCGCTCAGAGTAGATGACGAGTGATGGACGACAGAGCAAAAGACCTAAGAACAACCGATATAAGGTCAAGAAGCGGTCCCCCGATGGACTGCTCCAAAATGATCGCAATGGTGCGGGAGGTGTAACAACGACGCGACGCCTCCGAAGCGGAGTCCGTTTGATCGCCGTGGCAGAGCGTAATATTGCATGAATTGCGAATATATACATCGTTGGCAAGTTGATCAAGCCTTCGCTCCTATCAGGCTCTGACTATCGATGTTAATTTTCGATGTTCCTTTGAACCGGTGATGACCAGGCGGCCGGATAATCGCATGAACTGACGCGCTCTTGTGATATGGATCGGAGGAGCCTGAAAAATAATCTGCCCCATCGTGGGGATGGGGCATCCGGGGATGGACGATAGACGTCCCTATTGACATCGACTCCTTGATTAAAATCAGACATCATCCATTTTGAGATCGTCCTACATAATCATGGAAGTCGGTTTCGTGAGCCCACGGGCTGCTCTGAATATGATTGGTAGCGTAGCACATCGTATCAGACGTTGGAGGCGCACTCCGTGAGCCCCGAGGAAGGCTTTCGAATTCGTTTCATTCCAACTTTTATTGGACCGACACAAACATAGCGTAAATTATTATGTATCATAAAATTATTATTATCCATTGATGTAGTTTCCTCTATCCCTCGGACTATTGCGGCGGATTCTCTCAGAGGACAGTCTTCATTGTTGTCGATGTTGTTGTAGATATAGATGTTGATGTTTCCTTGACGTTGTCGTTGTCACGCCTTCTCCTTAGCCTCAGCGGCGTCTTTGTCCTTCTTTTTTTTCCAGAATTTCAAGCGGAGCTGAACAAATTCTCTTTAGAAATCAAGAATCACACGGGGTCGAGTAAGCCGGCAACATATCGGATCACTATCTAACTCCTATGACTGGACCAATCGAGGAGGAAGTTCGAGGACAGGGGTTAGTACTGCCAACCGATCGAGTGCATTATCAAGCCGTCCAACAGGACTTAGCCCTGAGCAGAGCGGATTAGATCACGCCTGCTCCCAATCAAGTCGTGCACGCACATGCAGATACAACAGCCTCCCAGTAGCACCCGAACGTGCGTGCGCCGTGAAGGGTCGACAGGGAAAGGTGGGAGGGTCTCGGGACATTCCCCTGCTACGCGATCCACTAGGTGGCCATAGAGACGAGAGATGCTCGCCTTCTCCGTTGACTTGGAGGCTCTTCAGTGACTCTGGGGGAGATGATCAGAGTTGCAACAATCGATACCGCTTCTATATCGCAGAGAATTCTTAGCAATGATCGTTCAAAGTAAGGTTTATTTCGCTGAATGATCCAGGATAAAAGGCCCATTGAGATATTGCAGTTTCTTGCTACGGCCTCGGGTGCATGTTAATCTCGTGATCATCATATAGAAATATATATATCGATATATATATATAAATATATCCATCGACGTGGATGCCTTTCGCAAGCTGTCGTGTGGTCTTGCTTGCTCATGTCTTTAACGTTTGTTCTTTGTAACCGCTCGTACAAAAATATGCAATTCGCAACTCTTCATGATCCTTCCCTATCAAATTCATCTGTGTCGGCTCGATTCTCGTAAATGTGTGTCTGATGCTCTGCGCCATCTCTGCTATGCACGGAGTTAGTCAGCCCAGGCGGAAGTCGATGAACACGGGCTCGGAAACTCACCCCAACACCCAGGCAAGTTTTTCTGCGCACCGTCACCTCAGAGCGAAGGCGGAAATTTTCTAATCGGGTGGGATCTGACTCTATAGATCGGCAAAAAGCTCCAGGAGATCCGTCCAGCGCGAGTGGGAAATCAAGGGAAGGCCATCCGCCCCAGTGATAAAAATCACAACTCGAACCCAACTTGAACACGTCTACTCACGCTCAAAGAGGGCTCACACGATGGCGGATTCTCATTGTACTAGAGGGAAGGAAAAAAAGTGCAAGACGAGTATATCATCATTGCTATCATCGCTATACGTAATCATCAGTTTTAAATAATGTTCTGGTTAAAAATAACACATCAGAAACGGACGATCGGTCGAATCAATTTTCCATCAAAGAGTGAATGGGTCCGTCAATAAATCAATCAATCTATTATTCAATCCATTGATCGATCCAGCGATCTATGCACCATGCGGGCTCCGCCCCCGAACCCGTGTTTTTAATTTGGTTCTCTCGGAGCGGACCGCTGTCTCTACTAGTGACGTTGAGCGCTCGTGAGGTTTCTTGTTGGGACTGATGAGGCGTAGGAACTCGGGGAAGGGGCAGAAGCGGGTTATTTGTAGCTCATGTTCATGATCTTGTTGTTGTAGCTGTTGTTGCTGCAGTGGCTCATCAGACATCCTAGCTCACCTTCTTGACTTTCTTTTTCTTCTTATTTTTCTTATTGGCCGTCGCGCGTTCGGCACCGTCTCCGTCACCCTCCTCCTGGAGCCGCGTTAGATTGAAGCAAGCAAAGTTACGCGTTAGTTACAGAAGCGGTAGATCTATCGAACAACTATCCGTAGACTGATCAATAGCCGAGACTAAGAGGATATCAGCGGTTCGCCGCACATGAGGAATATCTCGGAAGCATGACGATATCGAGCAGCAACGACGTAGATGTTGAACAAACGGGAAAGCGGTCTACACTCTTCGCATCGACGTAACTCCGGGAATGGAGGAAGGAGCCTAACGCGGGTTGCGCGTATTGTTGTGCACAATGCAAACGAGCGGAAAGAGTCTTCGCGCATTGATAAGACTCGGTTTTCTCATGGCAAACGCAATTCGAGGCGAATCGAGACCCTCGGAAAGTTAGTTGGGACTCGCGAAGGTCGAGCCCCTTTTCAGCTCGGAGCGTGGGGGAGTTTTTAGTCGGATTTATTCATCATGCCGTAGCGGTTAGCTTCAGGGCGAGTTCCGTGCATCTAGACCTATGCCTATGTTCAACATTGCGTCAACTACGTCTTCGATGTCGTTATACACTACGGCTAGCTTCGGCAAAGCCAGGCGTGACTTACTCACCCCATCGTGACCTCCACCGTTCTGCTGAGCGCTCGGCGTTGGCGACGTAGTCGTGGAGTCCTCCGATTGGTGACCGTTTCGCTGAGCTTGTGCAGGTGGGACCGCTTGCTGAGCCTCGGCCAATTGTTGGCTCAGCTTGTCCTGGAAGACAGACCATGAATTGAGTCCTGCTCGTAGTCCACGCGCGTAGCGGGGGCCAGCTGCTCGGTATCGATAGGATCGGTCTCTATGATTCCACTCACAACTGCAGCTTTAGTGTCGTCGAGCTCGTTGATAGTACTGCTCCTCTCTTGCTCAGAATCCTGAAGTTGAGCTTGGAGCTCTCTGAGTCTCGATTCCAGGTCCCGGAACGCCATCGTCATCTCCGTCTTCTCGGACTCGAATCGCTTGCGATCCTAGAAATGAAACGGTTCAATAACGGCTCTCAGCCTGTGAACCGGACCGCGGCTCGCTTCTCCGAGGGGTCATCGAATTCATCAGCGACATCGGCGTTTTTTATGAGGAGATTCGGAATCAATTTGGCTCAAGGGAGGAAGAACGGATAGATTCGCGGCGGATCACATACGGATCTCCTCAGCGCTGCCATAGGAGCAATTTCCCCTTCACAAAAGGCGAGACCACTGTCGACTTCGGACCCTGTCGCTGCCCGGCGGGCATAGCGGAGTCCCCGACGGACCGCCTCGGCGACTCACCTCACTCCATTTCTGTTCTTCTCTCTCAACACCCTCTTCTAAATTCTTCAGTAATTTCTCGGTATCGTTGAGCACTGTGGTATAATGAGCGACATCTTTCTGGAGCTTCGATACTTCCTCGCGGAGACGTTCGATCTAATTCAGGGGGAAAGCAGGGTTTGAGGACAAGTGCGATGTGGAATCGATAACTTTTCATTAACTCCTAAAGCTATCTCACCTCTTCGTTGGCTTCATCGTTGGCTGAATTCGACTTGACTTCTGCCTCGGGAAGCGACGCGACCGATGCCGCAGGAGGGGCAGCACTCGCCACCGTAACAGTCGCCGCAGCAGTCGCTGCAGCTTGAGCGGCGGAGACCGCTTCGGAGAGCTTGGTCTTAAGAGAGCTGTTCTCGGCTTTGAGTTTCTCAGTCTCCTTCGATTGCAATTTCAACTGCTGGACAACTTTTTTCACAAACTCGTCACCATCAAGATCCTTCAAATCGCCAGCCGCTTCTTTGGGGAAGGCTTGAATCAACAACTTCCTATTCCTTTCTTCGTCTTCAGACGTCTTCTTCTGCAACTCGCTCAGTTTCTTCTCGGCCTGGATTAGGCCTTCAACCGCGGTCCAGTTCTTCTGGTGCAGCTGGGTATTTCTGGTCTTGAGCTGCTCGAGCTCCTCCTGTAGGGCGGCTTTCTCTTCTAATAAACGATTCGCGTCTTGTGATGTGCTCCTAGCACCTGAGAGGTCATTCTTCAGAGATGCAACTTGTAAGTGAGCCTCCTCGGAAATGCTCTTAAATTTCGAGAGCTCGGACTCTGCCGTTTGCAAATTCGCCTCGATCTGCCGCTTCTCGGCGTCCAATTTGTCTCTGACGCTTGTGACCTAGAAAGCAGGAATACAAAGAAGAAAGTGGAAAATGGCTTTCCGATGTGACGGAAATAATGCCATGAAGGAGTCCGTGGGAAGAACCTACCTCCGAGACTTGCAGCTCCAAGGTGCGGATTCTCTCGTTTAGCTCGTCTACGCTCTCAGCGAAACGACTCGAGGCATGGACTTGCTCTTGAGCTCTGAAAAGACGGAATGAGGCGACCGTCAAGAGAACGATTCTTCTTTCGCAGTTTGCCGTGAAAGACGCTCAAAATATCGAATCTCCACTCACTCGCGTAACGAATTCTCCATCTCCTTGTTCTTGATCTCGAGTTGTCGAACTCGGCCGTGCAAAGTCTCATTGAAAGCTTCGACATGTTTCATCTGTGACTCCACTTGTTGTTGGCTGCTCCTTGCTTGCAGCAGATCATCTTTGAAACGATTCTCTATTTGTGCTACGGAATTTTGAATCTGGCTACACTTGGTCTTCAGGGCAGTGTTCTCTGAATGCAATTCTCTGCTCCGAGCTCGCGAGCTTTCGAGACTGGTGTTCAGTTGAACGATTGCTTCCTCTTTCTCCGCAATTTTTTTCCTAAGGACCTGCATAGGATCCTGGCGGGTAGACTTCCATTCCTTAGACTCGTTCTGATGGTTCAGTAAAGCATCGACAAGTCGCTGAAACGAGCGAATACAAAGTGATTTCGCGAGTCGGAGGTAGCACAACAGAAAAATTGACCTATTCTTGCCGGCGTCATTTCTCTTTCCCTGAGATGCCCGCTCCCTCCAATATTCAGTGTGTGTAGGTGGGCCATGGACAGGTTCTGTGCTCCGAATGTGAGCCACCGGGGGAAAACTCTTGCGAAACACTGTTCTAGCGGGGCAGGAAGGTCTCACCTGGACGGTTTCTTCGCCCATGTCAGCTGGCAGCTCCCTCTGTTCGATTTGATTGATGAGCTCCTTGAGTTCCTTCTTGGAGAAGGCTTTACGTTCCTTTTTCTCGTGGACAGGTGAATTCTTCTTCGAAGAACCAGTTTCAGAAGCTTCACCCTTTGCGCCTTGCTTCTTTTGAGAGACGAGCTGGGATTCCTCTTCAGTCCCCAGAATCGGCTGCGTAAAACGCTGCGGCTGGTGAGACACAGATATGGGAGCAACTTTGGCTGTAGGAGCCGTCGTCTGCGATGCCTTCGACGGCGACTGTTGCTGCTTTTTGTGGTGCAACTCTACCTGGGAGATCGAGATATGGACTGATTTAGCAAACCATGGATTTTCTTGCCATGCCATGACAGCCTATTGTATATATGTATATATATTGGATGGATACTATAGATAAGTAGGCTTTCATTCGTCAAGGTATCGACAGTGAAACATGGATCTTCAATCGTAAGATCCGACGGCGAGACGAGCCATTTAGGAATCGGAAAGTTCCCGTCGAATTAGCGTATCACACCCCTCAGTACATGTATCCCGCCGTTGGAGATCTCCGAAATTCGCGGAGAGCCGCTCGGTTATACCGCATATAGCTCGGAGGCAGACCCGAGGGGGATCGGAACTTGCTGTCGATGTTCGCCGTTACATGAGGAAATCCGGAGCATCTGAGCGTATCCATCTGAACGGTCAGTCCGGCAAGCAGGAATTTTCTTCTCGTGACCTGACTGAATGATTTCCACCGCTGCCAATTCTCATGTCAGGAAACGTCGAACTCACCTCGTCTTTTGGCTTGATTTCGCGGAACGAGTTTGAGCGCGCAATCTTCAGCGGGTCCCCTGCAGATTCGGTGACCGGGGAAGTCTTGTTCTCCTCCTCTGAGTGCACCAGAATGGGCTTTGCCGGTTGTCGGCTCGGCGCTAACACTTTGCCGGTTTCCACCTATAATGGGTTATGGTCGCATATTTTGATGTCGTGTATCCGTGTGGAATCGGCTCGAAAAGAATTCTTATAATACACCGATCCCAATCGACCTATAGTCCAGTTCTCACTGAATGACCACACACCTGGGGGATCTCGTCGAGCTCGACATACTTGATCTGCTCTTTCACAGAGAAGTCGACGTGATCATGCTTGACAGAATCGTCCGCGGTGGCGACAGCGGTGGGAGCAGATGCGGTCGTGGACGCCGTGCTCGCATGCTGCGGCTCTTTTTTGTCCGCTCTCTTGTCTTTCTTCTTCGTGGCTTTCTCTTTCTTCTTTTGTTTCGGCTCATCCATGGCCTACAACAGGTTTGGAAACTTGAATAGCGTCCACGGAAACGAATCTGTCCTTCGGAACGTTGCGCACACGGCGTGTGCTTGACCGCTACTCACCATTAGTTGTTCGCGTTGCTTTCTGAACACTTCCTCGTAGTTGGGTCCTGGATTCATTCTGTACACTAGAACTATGATTCCAGCGAAAAGCGCTGTCGCAGCCACACCGAAGTAGGCTACGTTGCTCGTCACCAGCTTCTCCATAACCTCCATAACCGAGACGACTTATCCGGTCCGGAATCCGATCGGCACAAGCAGTACCAAGCCGAAAGGTCCTACAGCGGAAAAGAAATCCACACTTTCTTAGTTCAATCAGAAAATCGCACGCGACGGGCGGGTGTCCCACGCCTGTCGAGTGTCGAGAGACCATCCGCGATCCGTGCTCCCCTCATCCAGTCCCGAAAACGAATTAATCTCCCATATCACGAGAGACCCCAACACCTCCCGCGTAGCGTCATGATCTCAGATGCACTCGATCTGGGTAGACGCTCTGTGATAAAAATATACTTGTCCGATGCTATTCGGCTCTCCGTCTCAATTTAATACAAAAGATATGCGCCTTGATGGCAGTCAGTGCTGCGTGTCGAACAGGAGGAAAAAACCCGTTGACGTCGTGTTACCGTTTAATGGTATCGTTCGGTCAGAGAAAGTTCTCAGAGACGGCGGCTCGCATCCAGGCGGTTTCGGAGATCAAGAGCCGCTACTACTCCAAGACTTGTCCGCCAGCCAACGAAAAGACTCATTCAATTAAAGGAACGGAGGCCTCGCAGAACGAGACGACGCAACACGTTCCGTCGATCCGAAGTGGAAGGGGCAGATCTTTGCTTGCCGGAATCACCCCAACCTTCCGATTACAATCATTTCAAGCGGAGAACTCAAACTCTGGGAGCAATGATATCGGTTCCCTCGTGGAGGGGGAAGAAGAGCCATCAGTTTTCGCAGAGCTCGCCTTCGATTATGTTCCCCAACAGGCAACACTGTTGTCCCCTTTCTTCATAAACGGAACTGACGGGCTTGCTCCCGACTTATTCCTTCGATTTCAAAGAACCAGAGGACCGCACTGAAATTCAGAGCCCTTCCAAAAGAACAGCCGTCTCGCAGGCTTCTCTCGAACGAGGCTTCGACACGGTATCTGTACGATATAAAATAAATCTTATCATGCCAAAGAGGCCTTCCCAAAGATAGAAGCTCTCAATCTGCGGAACACAGCCCGTCGCCGGTGTTAGGTGGCCGAAAGCACTATTCAAATGACGCTCAGTTAATGCTCAGGATGGAGTCGAAAAAGTTAGGAGAAATTCGAAAAACTGTTGACGCGGCATGCTCTGTTCGACTATGTCGTCGTGTCGTGTCAGGCTGCACCAGTAGACGACCAGAGTTGGATCCACGGCGCTCTCCGGACTCAAACTCATCAGTGTCCAAACACAATGTATTGCCATCGGGAGGAGGGATGTTCGATTTGAGATAGAGCCGACTTCACATGATTTCGATTTGAAAAGAGCAATCATGCGAAGAAAATCGTGTCGTCGGCGGTCTGACACTATAGGCATGGTTGCTGCCGCTGTGGCGGCTGCTGTCAATTGGCGTTCACCGGCGATGTCCACGTCAGTGGTTACGATTAAAAACTAGGCAGCACGCTCCTGCTCCGTGCCAATGGTGCATGCTCCAGAACACAGCGATCGTTTGGCGCAACTAGAATGCAAACGTCAAACTTACTTTCACGATCGAAGTTCGTCCACTTTGATTGGTACGAATTAGTGACAACCAGCTACGTGAAGTTGCAGCTCCGGGCAGCTACGCACTCGAGCGACCGGAAGGGAAAGGGCCACCATGGCGGGCTTCTTTGAAAACGGCTCCTTGCAGCAGTGCATCGATCGGCGCCGAGATCCGGGACGATCATGATCGAGGAGGCAGTAGGCATGGCAGTACCGACAGAAACAATCGTGATTCATGTCCAGAGAAAAATATCTAAATAAAAATACGATATGAAATGAATAAAATACGAAAATACGTCACCCCCTCTTTGCGAAGGAAAAGACAGGCGGACGGAAAGAAACCTCCCGAGGAAGTTGAAACTCCGCTGGGCCTAACCCTCTCATCCTTCCGGGGACACTACGATCATGCATTGAAATCCAGAGATCAGCACATTCCTGAATTGGTACGTCGCTTCGAGTTTTGTAGAGATTATGCCCACCGTTCCGTCCAAATCCAAGAGTTTTCAGTATCTCACCTGCTTCTGTGAACCAAATGCGTTCACAACGAATACTCTCTTCGAATCCGTTGGGTGTCTATGAAATCGGGATTTCGAATATCTGCTCGGGCGTAGTTCGCATCGATCCACATGTAATTGTGAGAAGAACCCTCGCAGCTCGAAGACAGCGCAGATGAGCCGCCTCGTGGTGCTCCTCATATATGTGAAGCCTGCTCGGATTTCTGAAACTCCCTTCAGATATGTGCAACCTATCTCCGCGGATATGCTTCGATGTGCTCGCCGTTAGGTGGCAGTCCAAGACGATAAGGGAAAACGTGGACAGAAGAAGTAAAATTGGTGTCTGGTGTTTATTGAACTTCGTTACTCTTTATCTTCTACGAAAACCGTTGCTCGGGAAAATTCTGGACTCGGTTTCGGAGGCGAGATGACTGAGAAGACCCTCTCTTTTCCGATGTGGACGAGACCTGGGCCCTGGCTGCTGTCTAGGTCGATCTGGTTGAGCTGAATGGTACCGTAACTTGAGCTGGGTTCTCAAGAAAACTCGTTGAGCGAGGATCCGGAGGCCAATCCAACGTAGAATGCTCGTGCGTTCGTGGAAGACGGCAGAAATTTCTCACCGTCGCACTCCGCTTGTGGCGGAGCGAGGACCCTCCTCTTCCAAAGCTGATCGATACGCCATCGCTCCTACGACGCGCTCGGCGAATATTGCAGGCACGCGGCGACTCTTGTCGGGTCAGACGGAGCTCGTTTTTCATTGCGAGAGCGAAAAAGCTCGACATTTCGGACATTTGTGCTTCTGTATCACACGCATACAATTACTCATCTCGAACGGTGTCCTCTGTGTTCCAGCCTTACGCTGCTGTAGGGGTCAGCTGAATTGGGAAAAGGTAGTTCCGCGTTCTACGACGCGAGAAGGGACAGAAGTCGAGACCAGATGATGTTTCGAAGCCTTCCTGTTCCTGAAAAAAATAAATTCTTTCAAGGGAAGAGAGGGCCGCCAGCACTAGCTTTCCAAGAGCAAACTCAAAGGAATTCACCAGACACGCTATCGCGTTCGTAACCTCGCAGTCTCTGTTGTGGAGCCTCGCAGGTAGATTTTTCCGTTTGCGGAAGAAACGGCTGTACATCTTGTAGTAGGAGGGAAAGCATTCCGCCGTCGGCCTGCGTATCCGACAAATTCATCAGCTAGAGTTTCCTGCATTTAAGCAGTCATGGAGATTGAAGTTCCGACTGGTCCTCCGACTGGCATACTGACCGCGTTTCTCTACTCACAACGGAAAATTGTGTGAAAGGCTTAGAGATCGTGATTGATCACTGAAAGCGTTCAGAGCGATTATAAGCACTCGAGCAAGCTTCCCTGTCACCTAGGGAAACTCTAGCGGAGCGTAGAAAGTCGACGTGCAGACCTCTGCATTACAGGGAAAATTTCATCTCGATCATCTTCTCGTAATTCGCAAGCTCCATCAGCTCATTTAGCCAGGGAATCGAGGGAGAAGGACAGACATGTCCCTAGTTAAGGTTGAAGCGGCTCGCGCAGTCGATCGTTCCATACTGTACGCGGGGACGGCTGAACGCTCTCTTCCGCTCTCAAGCCCTCGACAGTCTATCTAAAATGAAGACCATTCCCACTATAGACTTGGTATTTTATTCTCAATTCCGCACGGTACAATACTTGAGCCGAGTAATATCGGTGGATCAAGGAGTTCTGTATACTGACAAGGCGGAAAAACATTTCGTAGCAACACATAGTATGTACAGAACATAGACATTTTCGGAAATGAGGGGAAAAGCAACGATTCATCATTTTCAAAGAATTGCTTCCCAATCGCGTGTTTCAAATTCAAACGACAGCCTTGAGCTCAACATCGAACTTAAGCGTCGAATCGGGCGGGATGGGTCCCATCTTCTTCTTGCCGTAGGCCATGCTCGGGGGGATCACAAGGCGTCGTTTACCGCCTACCCTCATTCCCTCAATGCCTACGTCCCAGCCTTTGATAACAGACGACGTGCCTAGCTTAAATTGGAATGGTTTGCCTTCAACTAGCGAGTCGAATTTTTTGCCGTTGAGAAGTGTTCCCGTGTAATACACACGAACGGTCTTTCCTTTCTTGGCCACGGGGCCCGAACCGACTCTAACGTCCTCTACAACAAGATTTTTCGCAGAATCGTTCTTTTGAGGGGCGGCTGCATTCTGCGAGCTCTGGGAGGCCTTCGCTGATCCGGAAACACGTTTCACGTCACCATTGCCTCGAGGGGTCATCGAAGTACCATTTTGTAATTTTGCTTTCTTCGCCTCTGGCGTGCTGTTCTTCGACAGGGGAGCCGTTGTTCTCTTGAGCCCAGGAACAACTTTGCCTTTTCGCGGCTCCTCCTGCTCGTCGACCTCATCGTCGTCTTCATCTTCCTCGTCTTCATCGTCATCTTCGACTGAGCCCTCTTCGTCGACGGATTCGTCGACAGAACTTTCGTCCGCGTCATCGGAGTCCTCATCTTCCTCCTCGTCTTCGGAGCTTGGGCACGTCGGCACCATTACAGTGGGCGCCTTGGGGTGATCCAGAGTTGACCTCCGTGGGTCTTGATTGTATAAGCTTGGGACGTCCTCGCTGCTATCAGAATCATCTTCGGAAATCCCTGCTGGGTCATCCCCATTTTGGTGGAGGCCCAGCTCACTCGCATCGTCGGGATACAAATTATGACCAGTGAGGAACACAACTCCATCGCCTTTCAAATAAAAACAAATATCTTCACCCTCGGCGAAGCGCAGGTCCATGGAGCAGTCGTAGATCTCTCCATGCTTGAGCGTAGCAATGGCGTAGTCCGAACCCTCTTGTTCGACGAACACTTGAACCAACTTGCTCGCAGGATCCTGAGCTTTTGCCTCGGTAGCCGGCGATTCCGTACTGAGCGTGGCTTTCGTGATCCGGAAACCTTCTGGCACCTGCTGACTGTAGCGCAGATTTGCCTCCAATTGTAGACCCCAAAACATGTTGAGCCTCGTGGAATTTCCGAGTCTTTCGACGTTGCTATAACCAAACACTACAATCGTGATCGACAAAACAAGGGATCTAATCGAGCAACAACGTTGCGCGCACGTTACACTTTCTCTTTTGTTTTGGCTTGCCTCTGAGACACGCGCTGATGACGACGATGAGGCGCGTTTCCTTTTGTCGTCGGCTGTGTGTCGGTGTGCTTTTTTGTTGATGCTGTGGTGGTGGTACGAATCCGGACACGATCGGTCTGAATTCGATGCTTGTTTGGTACAGCACATTCGAACGAGGGCGCCAAACTGATTAAGCGGTCCTCGAGCGAGCGGCGCGCGCGAACTCTCGCCTCACTCAACGCTTTTCTCCCCGTCGAATCATTTAGATCGTTTTCCTTCGACCGAGTCTGCCGAATGCCAATGCAGCCGTTCCGGGGCTGCTCAGGAGGATGGAGACTCGCGCATTCTTGACCAACCGATATAATACATATACATACGTGAGCTTTAATTCCTCCCTACCTTGGGGTAGCGGTGGTGGAGGAAACCAGCGTGAGCGCTCAACGGGCTAGCCTAGGAGATCGAATCCGGGACCCTCGGACGGTTCAACCACTCGATACCGATTGAGTCCAGCTCGGACCCTAGGATTACCGCGTCGAACCGGTACAACCTGGATGCATCATCTTCAAATTCCCAATTCGAGATCTGGGGCATATTCTTTCATCTCGTCTGGGGAATGGGCAGCGTGAATCCAGGAACCAACGTCGGATTCTCGTCGCGATCGTGTCACTCTACCGACCGATAATAAAACGTACAATTATTCCTGTAGAAACTCTCCCTGCGGTGATGACGTTTTAGCTGTCACCCTGGTCGTGGAGTTTTCTCCGGTGCCCGTATCAGTCCCAGAAAGCACGACTTGATTCGAGCATCGAGATGAGCCCAATCATCACTCATTACTATGTTCTCTCAGAACCTGCCATGCAATATTCTTCCTGCAACCATTATACAAGTACGTTGCATCGAGCGCGATCCGGGCTCCCGCGAATGCGTGCAAATTCTGATGACACATATAAACTTCGGAGAATATTCAAGGAGGAAACCAGCGAGGGGAAATCTCCTAAGAGCGACGACACGGTAAGATCAGGAGGGATCTTGCCCCGCAACCTATTGACTAGACAGAAACGCCGGCGCCGACGCGACGCGGAACGGGAGAAACCGCCCGCGCGATTGGACCCGATTCCGGAGATCATTGGCATCATTTCCTTGTCAGTTTCTTTTTCTCCACTCCTCTCCGGTTTAATTTTTGAGCGATATCTCCCACGAATGAGGATCTCGTCGGAAACAAGGAGCCCACGGACCGACCGTACTCGGAGAACAGCATTGAATCAGGTAGAACGCCGAATCCCGGGTCTGTTGGGGTATTTTATCGATGCTCATTGGACGATTAAACTTCGAATGCAAGATTATCCTGGCTCCATTGTCAGGTCCTGAGGGTAGACGCAACATTCACCAGACCTCGAGAAGTGCGAAGAGGATCCAACGGCCTGCCTTCTTCACCGTACTGCTTCGGATCACGAATCGGTGTCAATGTCGGGAGCCATTCCGGACCCTGATGGCAAACTACGCCCGATTCTAGAAAGGATTGCTGCTGAGAGCGTCAGTACGCAGAATTACCGAGCCAACATCGAAGACCTCCTGAAATTGTATCGGAGGATCCATCAAACCGCTCCGGACAACGGCAAATTCACCAGGTACAGTCGAGAGAACATCTTGTTCAATCCTCGGAGCTTGATCAGGAAGCCGAGTGGTACGCATCGTTAACATTCTTTTAGAATTAACACAGAGAAAGCGCGCAGTAAATTATGGTCGAAGTCGCCTGCGATGCAGGATTTCATGTTAGAGACTGGCTGGACCCTGCAGAGCGATCACATAAGATTCTCGGATGAGAGGTAGGTTCGATGTTGGGATAACTGCCGATAAGTTCTCCGTTCCACAATAGCCCACATATTGGCGTTCCCCCCACAGACTACTGAGACTCACCATTGAACTCTTGGCTCGAGAGCGAAGCCGTGTGATTCCCTCCAAGGAGGAATGGGTTCCGGAGACAAAGATCGAGAACGTTGCATTGAAGGGGGGTCTAGATCTCCGGGAAGAGCGGCAAGTGACAACCATTCTCGGATCGGCATTTCCAGAGATAGTTCCGGCCTTGCCTCCGAATATACGAGAGGATATCCCGGGAACACTTGACTGAATGTTCAACCTGATTCTTACAGCTTACGAGAAGAGGCTGCTAAGAAGAGAGATGCAGATTTGGCGGCATGCCTAGAGGACGTCAAGGAACGCAAGCTGCTTGGCGAAAGCATCAGGCAAGAGGTACGCGCGGAGTTCGAGCACCGAAGGACAGTGAATCAGAGGAAGCAGAATCCCTCTGAGAGGAGGACGGCGAACGTCGGAAGGAACAGCGAGGCCGAACGACAGACTGATTCTTGATGATCGAGCAACGGGAAACCAACAGTCTTCCATCTGCAATATCAGAGGCGGATATGTTTTTGTTCATTGGCTACGCGTTTGGAAGATTAAGCGGCTCGGCGTCCACCTTCAAATTAATGACTCCGGAAGGCTTGACGGGAGATCGCCGCGCCGTCCATCCACAAAATGCCGTCCCGCCTGGGGACAATCAGAGTTCCTGGCGAGATCGAATAATGGAGCTCAAACCGAAATGGAAAATGGAATCTTTGGTTGCGCTTCTGGAATGACGGTTGGCAGACTCGTCGTGGTAGGGAGGATCGTGAGCGAAAACGGGTAGAAGGAACGTTAGAGCAGCGGACGCATTCCAATCGGGATAGTAGTGAAATGGAAGTGGGAGCCCGGAGCGACGAGGGAAATGGGGTGAGAAGTAGGGCGGGAATGAGGGTCAGAGCGGGCATAATGGTCTTATACGAAGCTTCGTTGCTCTGCGTTCGAGAGGATATAACCATACGGACTCTGAAAATCCTATCTTCCTCTTCTGGGACAGATTCCTATCGAGGAAAATAAGGAGTATTCGGCTGGTGGGATCTATCACGTGGTCACTTCATAAGTACCCCATGCAGAATGAGTCGGGCTCCGCAAAGGATGAGCAAGAGCCAGGTAGTTTCATCGGAGAAGGGCTAGAGAAAAACTACATCGGGGGATCCCGAGCATCATGATCCCGCGTAAGAAGATCGCGGAGGTAGTGATTTCATCGTCAATCAGGGACGACGTGAGACCCCGCGCCTCCCGGAGATCCAACGTACACAGAGATCCGTTCCGGAGCCGGTCTCCAGTTGTCGAAGAGGAGCGATGCCGCTTCCTTTCTAGCGGGGCCGCGCCGCCGCCCATACAGGCAACTGCGTGGAGCGTGGAGCAGTCAAGCATCAGACCGCCTGACTTGGAACCTTCGCAGGCAAAGATCATTGACATCACCGACTCCGATTGTACAAAGAAAGATTCCATTCCCGAGAGACCGGGGCCGCCGTGATTTCCGCACGGATTTCCCCTCGACACCCTTCTTCTGATCGAGGAATTGCCGCCCAACAGTCCCAGTGGATTTCCCGTATAAGAGGTACTAGCAGCGGGATTGATTTCGAAACCACTGGACCGCAAGACGCAGCATCGTAGTGAGCGCGTGAGAAAGGAGCCCAGCCCGTTGTTTCACTCTATATGGTCGTCCGTCTATTTAGCTCTTGTTCGCTTGTTGTCGCCAGCGGGACGGTCGCTTGATTTGTCGCCGTCTCCGATACACTTCGCGTCCGAAAGAAAAGTCGGTGTGTCGTAATTCCCGGAGCCGCCGACCGGGAGATCATACCACGAGACATGTCAGAAGAAACTAGACAGCGAAAGCCTCACGGAGGAATCCCTAAAGCCGAATTCGTGGTAAGTTGAAGTCTGGAGCGGTTGTCATTGGCCGCCGTCAGAGATCGCGACCACTCTGCTGCTGCCGTGAAAATCGTCCCTCCGTCACAGGGGGATATCGTCCCCCTTATATCAAATATCTTGAATTTCCACCGAGCAAACCGAGTCGATCAGAGGAACCACATCAGCCGAGGATCCTCCAAGAAATCGAACGATCGTGTTAAAATCCCCGAGAAAATTTGCCCTCCAGGAGAATGTTGAAGACTTCCTCAAGAAAGAGCACCACCCCAATGCCGAGCACGCGTTGCGGGAACTCGGCGAAATGTTGAGCAAATATAATTTCATGGACACCTCTCTGCAACAGAGGAAGGCGAAAGTGACATCGCAGATACCGGAGTTTAAGAACGCCTTGGATCTTTTGAAGATGTTGAAAGCTAAAAAGGTCAGTTCATTCCCCTCATGCTGCGTTTCTTAGAGCCATTGCAAGATACTCACGATCAGTCTTCCTCACCTTGGTGCCCGAGTCATTCCTCACTTCCTCTTGGTGCTTGGGCCCGAATGCAGTGAGCTCCGCTGAGATATCTGCATTCTCTTTCATCACAGGAAGCTGCGGAGGACATCAACACGACATTTCTGCTCTCGGACGATCTCTTCGCTAAAGCTAGAATACCTCCGACGGAGAAAGTGTGCCTTTGGCTCGGAGCGAACGTGATGCTCGAATACGACCTCCAAGAGGCCGAGCAGCTGCTATCGAAAAACTTGTCCTCGTCAGAGACAATTCTGAAGGAAGTTGTCTCGGACATGGAATTCCTCCGGGATCAGATCACGACGACAGAAGTGAATATGGCTCGTGTCCACAATTGGAATGTGAAGAAGGTGCAAACTGCGAAATCGGGGGCTGAAAATTGAACTACTGGGGCTTGCTGCAGTTCGAAGTTGAACGTGTCGATGAAGAATGGGGTAAATTATCTTTTGAATAAAGTTTCCTCAGAGCAGAGTCATCTTCTGTCGGCGCAGAGGGGTTGTCGGGACAGTCAGGTGCTCTCGACAAGTTCAGACGGTAAACTCTCTGAGCTCCAAACATTGACGAGTAAATTGATTCGATCTATCTCATATGGGAGGGAAAACATTCCCTAAAGATGGCAATCCGAACTTTTACTGTACAGGTCCACAACAAAAACGATCTATTGATACTTGTGTTCTCAGTGCCTCAAAAAATATGCTTTAAAATATTCATACGAGGATATCATTATGGCGCAAGCGGGGGCAACTCGGGCCAATCGTGGCACGATTCCTGTGAAGAGGCCCCGGACGCCCGACATTTGATGGATCTCTTTGAGCATCGCGAATGGATCCTTGACCCGAATCCTCGACGCAGACATCGCTTCTCCCAACTCCAATTGCCTGCGAAGAAGACAAACGAAAGAGACAGGGAATTGAGAGGGCGCCGGTTGGCTGACGGACTTTTCGAGGATCGGATCCTTACCTGTGTGTCTTGATAACGTCAAATGGTAATGTGATCACAGCAGCTAAAGAGCCGGAAGTTGCACCCGCAAACATGATATACGGCAAGGGTGGTGATCCACCGGTGTAACAGTGTTTGAGGAGCTCATAAGACGACCAGTAAATGCAACTGAATGGCACGTCCCGTAGGAGCGTTGAATACAGACCTGGACGTGGAGAAACGTCTTGGCAACGATCCCAGGAGTGAGGAATAGAACATTGTGGACACTTCCTTCGCAATACTCACCCAGGTACAAGACTCGGCAGCCCCGGACTTTCATCATGTCTCTCACCACTCTGAAGACTTCGCCATATTTCGAACCCTTAGCTTGAATCTTCGTCCGGATGAGCTCCAAGGGAGATATCATGGTGGCCGTGAGAGTCCGAGCTAGGGCGCCGGACACCAACGAAGACTCCGTCAGACTGAAACGCTGTTAAGAAGAACCAGCCAAGTCAATTTTATTTCTCATCAGCCACAGGAGCTCCGCCATGATCCGTGCTTTGCTTACACCGCTTTGGAGGAATCCGTCTTTGAGCAAATCGTAAGAAGTGAAATAAAGGACGGTTGCGGGCACCGCCATGATCAATGTTGGGGGGAGCCCGGACCAAAGAGCGCTCACTCCCTCGTTTGCTGAGATCCTCATGAATGCATCAAACGTGCCTGTGAGAAAGGAACTATAAGATTCTGGTTCCTCTGCGAGAATGATTGAATGAATCATTATGAACTGACTCATGAGGATGGTTCATCCTCATGAACTGACATAGACTGAGCCTTTCCTACCCGTGTATCTCCCGGGTCTACTGAACCAATGTTGTTCCCCTTTCTGCAGAAAGCAAACATGCTCCATGAGCCCGTTGCAATAAAGATAGCACTTGTGTTTCATGAATTCCTTTTGTTGAGCTTGAAGTCTCGTCTTCACCACATCAAAGGGTGTCATTAGGAGTGAGGTCATCACTGCTCCTGTTTTCGAAGGAGTCTCGTTTAGTTTAAGGATGTCGGAGCGACGGAGATGAACTTCGGAGAATTTCGGAGTTGTCAACAAAAGGTGGGACTTATCAGTAGCGTTTGCAGGTTTTTTCTAGGGGGGGGG